AGTCTAGTTTACAGAGAGTTCTAAGGCTGCCAGTAATATGTAGTGAGATTGTGTCACTACAAAACAAAACACCCTCTTAAGCCTAAGGAAACAAGATTTGGGAGAGAAAAGGTAAAGCCGCCAGTGGTGCACTCTATGTCAGAAAGACTTCTGGGGCAATGACTCCAGAAAGAGGGGGAGTTGTGTTTTCCACAGTCATCACTACCATTCTTATCAGTAATGGAAGGACTGATACCAAGAGGAAAGGGAAGACATTCTAAGTCCCCTGTGTGAATGTCCGCAGAGATTAGAAGAGAGCTGGAGTTACAGGAGGCTGGAAGCCATCATATGTGAGTATTAGGAAGAGAGGAGCAGCAAGCACTCTTAACCACTGAGCCATCTCTTCAGCCCCATTAGTTTTCAATTTTATTATTTATTTAGAGAACAGAGTCTCTACTACTGCTATGTAACGCAGGCTAGTCTTCAACTTACTATGTAGCTCAGTGTGGCTATAAACTCTTGACAATCTGCCTTTAGCCTTCCAAGTGCTAAGATTACAGGCATGTGCACCACAGCTGACAACATAAAATCCTTTTTAAGGAAACCTGCTGAATTCTATATGCTTTCATCCCAGTGGAACATGGGCTGAGTCAAGATGCCCAGGTTCTTGTCCTGGCTCTGCTTGTAGAGGCTCAACTAACTCTAGACAAAACAGACTGTCTTATTGTCCTTCTTTCCCATTTAAGGAAAAAATATCTTTTAAGGAGGTAAAAGTACTTTTTAAAAAACTACTAATGCACAGAATTCCTAAAATTATAGGGCTTTCCTGCTCATCTCAATTCTATGGAACTCCTACACAAAACAGTGCCAGAAAGTTTGTTAGTGTCTGCACTTCCTTACACACAGTTACCTGTCGGTACCAGAGTATTGGATCCACCTCTGCCTGCCGGCCACATTCAGTGCTCGTCTTAGTCTCAGAGGCCTCCTTGCCCAGGTGGCTGGCCTCACTCAGCTTCCCTTTGAGGCCATCAGGGGCCTGGCTGGGGAGTTTTGATGAGTCATCTAGTTTGGGAATGATGACGGACTTGGCAGGATCAGCCCCTGGCTCCTTGGCCTTGGCTGGCCCTGACTTTACCAGGTCTGTCAGGCTGGGAGCCTTGGTGAGAGTTGGTGGGATTGATGGCTTTTGCTTCCACTCTTCCTTGAGGGACGCTTCCCGCTCTTTCAGACCCATCTCTGTCTTCTTGTCCAGCCCCCGCTGCTGCTGCTCCAAGCTCTGCCGCTTCTGTTGTTCTTCATACTGCTGTCGATACGCTGTGTTGGTGCTCAAGAGGTGGGTGTGGTAACTCTGGTCACTGTAGCCATATGGAGGCACATAGGCATACTGGTTGTAGTACAGGGACTGCATGTACATGTTGGGCCGTTGCTGGATGACAGAGGGCTGCTGACTGGAACTGCTCAGCTCAGGTTTCTTTTCCTCACAGACATCATTCTTCACTTTCCCTTCTATGCTCTCAGGCTCCTCATCCTTCTTGGTCTTGAGGGCCTGGCCCTCCATTCCTGCCTGGCTGCTTGAGTTGAGAGCCCCTGGGCTGGACTGTGCATAACCTGGAGAGTAGTAACTTTCAAAGCCTTGATAATATGGCGAGTCTTTGTTCTGTGGCTGAGAGGGGAAAAGTGTTTTCTTAGCCCCGTCTTTAACTAGCTGTTCAGGGTCCTTGGACTTGACACTGTCCACCTTGCCCTCCCCATCCTCCCCAGCATCAGAGATGTCAGAGTAGGCAGGGCTATTGGTCTTGACTGAACTGGCTTCAGCACCGTTCTGGGTGACTACATGGAGAGGAGTTAGGGGTTGGGTTGGAGTAGTACTATCTAGGCGGCTGCTGCCTCCAATTGAAGGGCTGGGGGCATTGTCTGTAAAACTGTAAATCTTATCAGCTTCAGCCTTGATACTCGCTAACCGGCTTTGGTGGGAGTCTGAGGAGCCATTCAGAAGCCCCTCCATTTTTATTCCATCTCCTGACGATTCTCTGAACGGGCTTTTACCTTCTTCTGTTCGGCACGCCTTCCCAGGGGTCAGAGGACTTTCAAGTTCCTTTGATGATTCCTTCTTTTTTTTGTCTTTCTTTTTCTTGTCCTTGGCAGGGGTCAAGGCAGGGTTGACTGTGAAAGGTTCTCCCATAACAGTAGGCTTGGGCTGAATGGGCTTGAGTTGGGGGCTGTTGGGCATTGCTTGCACCACTGTGGTGGTCAAGCCTGAGGAGGAGCCTGGGCTTGCTGCTGTGAAGGTGGCAGTCTGGAAAGTGTAGATCTGTTGTGGGGGTATGGCAGGGGCAATGGGCCGGGCTGATTTTAAGCTCTTGGATGGAATCTTTTCGGGTTTCAAACTGGAGGGCTTTTTACATTTTTCTTTTTCCATACACTTCCTTTCCAAAGAGTCAAAGGCATCGTTGCTTGTTTCATCCATTACTGAGGGTCCGTCGTCAGAGCCATCATTGGATAAGGCCCCAAGGTCTGTGTCTCCCTCCCCACTCAATTTTTTCTTACAGAGGCCTTTTGTGCTGAATTTACTTGAAGGGGAAGGGCTGTGAGGCTCAACAAGCCGAACTTTGGGGGTAGCTGAGCGGGCAGGGGATAAGGATCCTTTTTGTGAGACAGATGCACCATTGCAGCTGCTAAGGTCTGCATGGAGTGTGGGCTCTTCTCCACACTCACTGTCTCCATCAGCTTCTGGTTTGCTGTCATCATCCGTGTGGGCATGAGCTTGGTGGTACTTAAGTCCATTAATGTGCTTGTACTTTTTGTTGCAGTTTGGGTGGGGACAGTCAATCAGGACTGGGGAGGGACAATTTCTGTCCACAATATTGGGTTCCACCTTGGTGCTAGGGAGGGGCCCAGTGGCTGAGCCCATGGAATTTGTGCGGACACGCTTGTTACCTTTGGAGTCCTCTGAGCTAGAATTCAGCTCCATATCTGAAAGAGGTTTGTTTTTCCTCTTGTTAGCTGAGGAAGGGCTGGCCTTGACATCCTCAGAGTTGCTGCTGGGAGGGGGGCGATGCTCTGAAGAGTTCTGGCTACCTCGACGGCCTTTGCTGTTGGCTCCTGCTCGGGTTTTACTGTTGTTGCTGGTCCCTTTGCTGTCAGAGGCTGTGGCTGTCTCATTGACAGGTGTGTTACTGTTGGGACGCATGCGTTTGCCTCTTCCTCGACCGTTACGCATTTCCAAGTCACTAGTGGGAGAGTCACAGAACCTTGGTAAAGGACAAATAGAACAGGATATTAATAAGGGGAAAAACGTGTTTGTTTTTATGAGGCAGGCCTCCTAGCAGAAGCCACTACACTCAGTTTTGTCTTTCTGAAGCCCAGGCTTCACTAAGTAGTCAAAGTTGGCCTCCAACTTGCAGCAACTCTCCTGCCCAGCCTCCATTTTAATGACTATGGTTTCTTTTAGGAACATAAATGGGAACTGTATTGAATAGTATCCTCCTAGGATGTAATTTGCATACTAGTTCTAGATCATTCCACCACATTTTAGGCTCTCAAGCCCTAACACACTGGGTACTAACATTAGGAATAAGATATAAAGAGACATTAAAATTTTAATGGTTTTTATTATATTTTTATTTTTGTGATACTGTCAGAGAGTAAATCCCTAAACCTCATGCAATATCCTAGCCCCAAAATCTTATTCTTATCACACTCATTTTGGAGACAAGGTATGTAGTCTAAGTTAGCCTCAAACTCCCAATGAGGCTGAAACTGACTTTGAACACTTGATCTTTGGTATCTCCAAGGGCTAGAATTACAAGGACATAGCACTATGGTTGGCTTGAAATTTTCATTTAAAAATTAAACTGCAACTTGAAAATAAGGCCAGGCACAGTGACTCAAACAAATACCTGTAATCCCAGCACCTAGAAGGCTGAGGTAAGAATATCACCTTGGGTTCAAGGCAGTCTGGCCTATGTAGTAAGTTCTAAGACAGCCTGGGCTACAGAATGAATCCTTGTCTTAGGGAGGCAGGGGGGAGGGGGGGAGGGAAAAAAAAAAGTGGATATTACTTGTGTGGTGGCTCAAGCTAGTGATACCAGCACACAGGAGGCTTGGTTTGAGGCCAACTGGGCCAACTCAAGTAAGATAAAGACGTAACAATTCATTAATTATGTGGAGGATCAGACCAATCTAAACTAGGTTATCTGTACATGCTCACCTTGGGGGTGCCCAATCATGCCTTGTGCAGTCAAGAAGTGTACCTACATATGTCTTGTTCCTCCATGTCACATTTACCACCAACATCCCTGAAAAATAGAAGAAAGTATGGATGAGACAAATTTGCTGGCCACTGCAAAGAATCTTCATGTGAGCAGCACTCTAACCTCTATGAAAGTTTAGTGGTGCTTATTACCAAGGGGACAGATATGATTGCACCAGAATAATTCAAAGATTTCACAGCCTGACCAAGACATTTCTTATTTTTTTGAAGCAGAGTCTCATGGATCTTAGGCTGTCCTTGAACTTATTTTAACTGAGTTCAAATATTTCAATGAATGACAACCAGAATTTATACTTTTTTTTTTGGTTTTGTTTTGAGACAGGGTTTCTCTTTATTGTTTTGGAGGCTTTCCTGGAATTCACTCTGTAGACCAGGCTGGCCTTGAGCTCACAGAGATCCGCCTGCCTCTGCCTCCTGAGTGCTGGGATTAAAGGTGTGTGCCACCAACGCCCAGCACATTTTTTTTTTTGGGTACAGCTTAGGTTGTCTGGTACATTTTTACTCTTTAAAAAGGCTAATATGAGTGTATCTGTGCACCTGACTGTAGGTGCCTGATGAAGCCATGGGTGACAGGAACTGAATTTGAGTTCTCTAGAAAACCAGTATGTTCTTTCTCTTAACCACTGAGCTCTCTCTCCAACCAGCCTTACTCTTAAGTGATGTCACACTGGGATTAAAGACATGTGCCACTACCACCTGGCACCAAAGAAAAAGGGGGGATTCATCATTCTCTTTCTTTTTATGGGGGTGCTGTGGCTAGCAGTTAAAAGGGCCTCCCTTGAGCAGGTGGTTCCAGTATGAACTAGCAACTGCTATAGCACCACAGCTTAACCTACGGGTGCCACAAGGAAGGACACCAGGGACTCAAAAGCAGCACGTCACTATTCTCTTTCTTAACTGTAACTTTTAATATCCTGGAGTAAAGTTTCTGTAACACTAATCAGTTATTTCCTCAGCTGGTCATTTACTAATAGCAGTTAATGACATGTAGAAAACATTTACTTTTGCACTGTTATGTTTATTAATCTTTTATTTTCTTAGACTACCCATCACCCCTCCTTTCACCTATGATAAATGACATAAGTATCTGAAGGGAAGAAAGGATAGGATTCCTATATGTTTCCAAGACCCTAGCTTCTTTGGTAAACAGCTATTTTCTAAGTAATTGAGCTAGATTCTGTGTGTTAGCAGAATGATTCAATCAGATGCCTCTCCTTAGTGATAGGCTGCTCTGCTTAGTTTAAACAAGAATAGTGCCTCTGGCATGACAGTGTATATGTTTAGTCCTGGCAGAGGCTGAGGTCAGAGGCCAGAGGTCAGAGGCAGACCTCTGAGTTCTAGGACAGTTAGGGCTACATAGGGAGACCCTGCACTAAACTAAACCAGTAACAACAACAACAACAACAGATCAGAAACAGGAGACACATTTCTAAAGGTGGATGAGCACAGCTGCACAGAGAGGACACAAGTAGATGGATGCTGTTTCTATTCTTGAAACAGCTGGGTGAACACATGTTTATAAATATGACTTCTTCCTCTGCTATACTCTGTAAACTTAGCAGTAAGCAGTACTGGATGAGCTGAGCTGAAGGGGACAAGTCAAGAGAGCTGCCAATGCAGAGGGAAGAGGGACACTTCTGACATGGAGAGACAAAATGGAGGGCTGTTGAAGTGTCACAGGAAACACATTTTGCTGAAGTGTAACACTCTTCCACGAGGTTCTGAGTTGAGACAGCCGGAGAATAAGAGGACAGGAAGGAAAGACAAAAAAATAACACTTTGCAGACCTACTTTTTCCAACAGGCACAATCTTTAAGGTAGTAAAAAGCAAGAAAAACAGGTCTTCATTTTTAAGAATTCCTATTTTTCAGTGTTCACAAAATAAGTGAAGTCTTGGCATATTTATAGATAGCAATTCTGTTATGAACGGTGCTTTATGCCTCTCTATGCAGTCATCACCTTTACTGAGTCAGACACACGAAAGGTGCCAAGGCACCCTCTTCCCCACAGGGGAACAAGAACTAGATCTCGTTTTTCTTATGTATTTTTAGAGATTTTAGGTACTCTGCTAGCATGTATGTGTACTACATGCATGCCTGGTGCCCACAGAGGTCAGAAGAGGGCGCTGGATCATCTGGAAGTAGAGTTACAGACAGTTGTGAGCCATCACATAGGTACTGGGAACCAAACCCAGGTCCTCAGCAAGAGCAGGAAGAGTTCTTAATCACTAGGTCATCTTTCTGGCTTCTATTCATTTATTTTTTGAGATGGTCTCACTCTGTATCCATAGCTGGCTTGGAGCTCACTATGTAGGCAAGGCTGGCCATACAGGGATCTACTTGTCTATGCCTCCTACATGCTGAAATTAGAGTTATATGCATCCATGTGTGGCTTACTATTTTACTCCATCATTGTGCCAAGTACTACTTAGATATTCAAAACAAAGCAGAGATACATGATTACTGAACTGAACGTCTCATTTTATTTTCAGGATACAGAATGGATAAATATAATTGTTAAGACTGAACAACCAACCACTGGCTAGATGTGATGGCATGCATTAGTTCCAACTGCTTGGGAAGCTGAGGTAGAAGGACTATGTGAGCCCAGGAGTTCAAGGTCAGCCCATACAACATAAAGAAGCCTTTATCCACAATAAAAACTAAATTTACAATAGTCTCTCAAAACATCAGACTCCCCCACCCCTTCAAATATATGCAAAGGGGTTTGGGTCATAGCTGAGAGCAGAGGGTTAGCATGCACAAGGCCCTGGGCTTTACTCTAAATATCAAAACCTCAAACCATATTCTATGTATTGTGGTAGTCATGGTCTGTGCAGACCAGAGAAAGAGGAGCAGATTTAGAAAATCCCACAGGATGTAGATTAGACAACACACAGCAGAGACCATGCTGTGGTGAGCTGGGGCCGTGTCAGCACAAGGAAGAGCTCTCAAGAGTTTCCTCAAGCACTGATTCTAAATGAACTCTTGTCAGTTGCTACACATTTGGGGCTATTACATTCAGATTTGTTTTGGGACAGGGTTTAACTATGTAGCTCTGGCTGGCCTGGAACTCACTACAGACCAGGCAGGCCTTGAAGTCAAAGATTCACCTGTCTCTCCAGTGCTGAGATTAAAGGTATGCACCACCTTGCTGGGTGATTTGTTTTTATGTGTAGGAGTGTTTTGCCTACATGAATGTATTATATGTACTGTGTGAGTAATTAGTGATCATGGAGGCCAGAACATGATTCCTGGTCCCCTAGAATTGCAGTTGTAGACAGTTTTAGTGACCCTGTGGGTGCTGGGAATGAACCCCTTTCTACTGTCTCGGACCTTTACTGTAGCTAGCCGTGAGCTTGCTATGTAGCCAGGCTGGTCTTAATGTTCTGATTCTCTTACTTTCATAGCCCAAGTGCCGGGATTATAGGTTTGTACCATAGCACACATAGAGGTCAGAAGTCAGTTTTCTTCTACCATGTGAGTCCTGGGGACTGAACAATCTATATTGCACCATTATATCTAGTTTGTAATATCTACAGTCATCATTTAATACTCAATAATTAATGAGATCCTATCCATAGTTTGTGGCTAGACATGGTTTGAGAGTTGGTTCAGTGGGTAAGTGTGCTTGACTACAATCCATGCCTATGTAAATCTAGAACTATGAGGGAATGCTGAGGCTTGCTGGCTGCCAGCCTAACTCCAGGTTCAGTGAGAGACCTACTCAAGGTGATAAGGTGAAGGGCGATACAACAGATGCCTGAGCCTGTACATACCACACAAACACACCAGAGTCACCAACATACATACTCATGCATGTGTGTGCACACACAAAAACATGGTCTCTCATGGCCCTTATAATACAATTGGGATAAACGCACACACATAATGACATGCTTTATGCACAAATAAGGGCATAAAGAATGAAGAATACTTGAGTGATCTATAGTTTATTTTTATCATGACATATCTAGTTAAAGAGGATATGGCATCAAATTTAAAAGAACTGTGATAGGGAAGCTGTACAATAGCATTTGAAATATTTTTAGACTTTCCTCTAGATGGTGCTGGAGCAACCATACTATAATTTGTAAGAAGTAAGAACTGGTGAGCAGGCTTGGGGTAAAAGTCCTTGCTGCTGAGCCCAAGGACCTGGATCTGAGCCCCAGGACCAACTATGCAGAAGGAAAGAAATGGCTCTTGAAAGCTGTTCTTTGACCTTTACAGTCCCATGCACTCCTCTTCCCAAAAAAACAAGTAAATAAATTTACAATAGTGGGGGTAATTTGTATAATTCATTAGCCTCTTGGTGGCTCTGCTATCAATTTCATAGCCCTTTATTTCCCAGTCTAGGAAAAATTCTGGACATTATGAAGAAGTTAAAATCACAGATAATGTAGACTGCAGTACCTCACTATTAAGTTAAAGCAACATTCTTTGTGTGGCTTTTAAAATATATATTTTAAATTTATTTATTATTACTGTATGTGGGCATACACATGCCATGGTATGTATGTGGAGGTCAGAGGACAACCTTGTACAGTCAGCTCTTTCCTTGCACCATGTAGATTCTAGGGATCAAACTAGGTTTGCATAGCAAGTGCGGTACCAACTGAGCCATCTCTTGGGACTATTTGTGTGTATGAAGGTAGGGCTGAATGAATTTCTCCTGCTTTCACAGTATTTATAATACAGAGTCAAAGAAGGAGACATTACCACAGGTAATGTTTACTTACCATGTTGGAAGATGAAGCTGCCGTATTGATGAATATTCTAATATGCCCAAATTAAAAAGCTCTTTGGTTTCTTTTTTTTTTTGGTTTTTCGAGACAGGGTTTCTCTGTGGCTTTGGAGGCTGTCCTGGAACTCGCTCTGTAGACCAGGCTGGCCTCGAACACACAGAGATCTGCCTGCCTCTGCCTCCCGAGTGCTGGGATTAAAGGCGTGCGACACCAACGCCCGGCTGTTTTTTGGGTTTCTAAGACAGGATTTCTCCATGTAGCTTTGGAGGCTGCCCTGGAACTCGATCTGTAGACCAGGCTGGTCTTGAACTCACAAAGCAGTGATACTACCACCCAGCTGTAAAGAGGCTCTTTAAAGACTAAGATATGCTGGTTTTATTTTTGAGATAGGGTCTCACTATCCCAGACAGGTCTCAAACTCATGATTTTTCCTGTGTGGGGTTCCCAAGTAGCTGCTATTACAGCATGTACCACAATTTGTCAAGACTAGTAATAAATTAAAAAAAAAAAAAAGACAAGCAAGGTCTATGTAGCCTTGGCTGTCTTGGAACTTGCTATGTAAATGAGCTGGCCTCCAACTCATGGAGATCTGCCTGCCTCTGTCTTCCAAGTGCTGGGGACCAAGGTATGTGGCCCCATGCCCAGGAAGACTAGTAGTAATTTTTAAAAGACAGGATTAGGGGCTGGAGAGATGGCTCAGAGGTTAAGAGCACTGGCTGCTCTTCCAGAGAACCTGACTTCAATTCCCAGCAACCACATAGTGGCTTGCAACCATCTATAATGAGATTTGGTGCCATCTTCTGGCCTGCAGGGATACATGCAGACAGAATGCTGTATACATAATAAATAAATTTCACAGACAGAACACTATATACATAGTAAATAAATAAATCTAAACTTCTCTAGCTCCAATAAATAAATCCTAAGAAAAAGAAGACAGGGTTAAATTGAAACTGCTGTTGTATATACTTTATTGTAACTACCATTACTTCAGTTATGCTGGGAATCTGAAGAAAGGAGGCCCAAGTCTCCAAGTAGTGGCCAGGACTGTGCCAGTCGGAGGCACTGTAGTACACATTTGGTCCTAACCTACAGTACTGTAAGGAATTATGGGGTAATAACAGAAAACTTTG